GTTGTATCCTTTCACCATATGTATTCAATCTGTATGTTGAGCAAACAATCCGAGAAGCTGGACTATACGAAGAACACGGCATCAGGACTGGTGGAAACTCGTTAACGATTTGGGATATGCAGATGACACAACTTTGCTTGCTGAAACTGAAGAGGACTTGAAGCAGTTACTGATGAAGATCAAAGACTATAGCTTTCAGTATGGATTACACTTCAACATAAAGAAAACAAAAATCCTCGCAACTGGATCAATAAGCAACATCATGATAAATGGAGAAAATACTGAAGATGTCAAGGATTCCATATTAGTTGGATCCACAATCAACGCCCATGGAAGCGGCAGTCAAGAAAGCAAATGACAAAAAAAAAAAAAAGATGACAACTGACGTATTGCATTGGGCAAATCTGCTGCAAAAGACCTCTTTAAAGTGTTCAAAAGCAAAGATGTCACTTTGAAGACTAAGGTGCACCTGACCCAAGCAATGGTATTTTCCAGCCCCTTATATGCGTGTGAAAGCTGAACAATGAATAAGGAAGATCTCAGAAGAATTGATACCTTTGAATTATGGTGTTGGCCAAGAATACTGCATATACCATAAGCCTCCAGAAGAAAGAACACATCTGTCTTGGAAGAAGTACATCCAGAATGCTCCTTGGAAGCGAGGATGGTGAGACTAGATCTCATGCATTTTGGACGGGTTGTCAGGAGGAACAAATTCCTGGAGAAGATTATCATGCTTGGTAAGGTAGAGGGTCAGGGAAAAAGAGGAAGATCCTCAACGAAATGAACTGACACAGTGGCTACAACAATGGGCTCAGACATAGCAACAACTGTGAGAATGGTGCAGGACTGGGCAGTACGTAGGGTCGCTATGAGTCGAAACCAACTAGATGGCACCCAACAACAAACAAGAACAACGACGATGCCTTTAGAGACCAGGGGGAAGTGAACAGCTCTTGAAGAATTGTCAGGCCTGCGTTTTTGCCTTGTGTTTAGTTTTAGCTTCCTGTCCATACTCTAAATGTTTTCTTTTTGAAAGTGCCTTTGTAAGAAATTTAGTTTCTCTGGTACTCTCTTTTCTTTTCTGTTTCTAATGGTCCTTGAAATGAAAAAAATTTGTCAGGTTTCCTCATTTGTACCTGGGCAACCTACTCAATGACTCTTAGGAGAATAGCTGGTGATTGGCATTTCTCTCTGTACAGAAAGAATGCGCATTTTTGTATTCTGGCATCTGAACATAGAGATGGGTTTCAAAATGAAAACCTAAGGGGGTTAGGTAGTAAATCCCAGTATGGTTTCAAACGTTCCTTTAAATCAAAATCTCAGTTTCTAATTTTCCATCACTTTGGCCTCATGGATGAGTTTCCTTTTATGAATGTAATATCCTCTTTTAAAGCCTTACCTCAAGTCAAACATTTCATATTGAAGACCCCCTAGTTTGTGAGGGCAGTGTTTACAAGGAACTTACACATTAAATAATGGCATTTTTGTTGGCTTCAAATTCTGGATTAACTTTATTTTCTCCTGAAATTGTGGGTTCGGTTGTGATGGCCTTTTTGCCACCACTTTAATACTAGTTCCTTATTGGTGGTGCTATGAGAATTGTATATGGTTACATCCACTTCATATGGTGCTTGTCTTATGGACTAGAAATCTCTCCAAATGGTTCTTTGCTTATTATGATCAGACATATTGTCACTGAAGACTCAGAACCAAGTCCCACGTCCTGCATGTGTGTATGATGTAATTTTTTACTCTCTAGTTTAGAGCTTCCTGGCTTAGTTAGGGTTGCTGTGGTTATTGGCTTAGTAATTAGTTTTCGAGTAAATACATTTTTTTTTTTTTTGGCAGAAATCAGCTCAGATTTCTTACTATAGACATGGCTTTGACTTGTGTCTTAGTCCTTTTGTGGTTCCAAATTAGCCCAAGGAGTCCTTGAATTCTACCAACCAACCAACCAACCATCTGAATGAAACAATATCTGTCAAACTAGCTTACTTGATTGAACCATTCGACTGGGATTATATCTCCTTGTATTACAGATTCAAAACATTACCACATAGATCAAATTCTTGTCTGTAAGATATTACTAGTATGATAGAGTACTTTAGTTACAGTGGTTCTACTACATGATGTTTGTTTCTGAAATGTGGCTGGATTCTATAGAATAAACAGCGGCAACTCCAATAATACACCTGTAAAATTCCAACACACTATTATGTGTGATAATAGATTAGTGTATGGAGTTGAAGGGTGCTGGATGAGAAGTCAGAAAATCTAAGATCTTTCCCACCTCTGCCACAACACAACTCTTTTAACCTGTTTGGACTTGAGTTTCCTCATCTGTAAAATGGGGGTAGAGGGAGATTGGACTATAGTTTCTGAGGCCTCTTCTGGTTTCAAAAGTTAAGACTCTACCTTTAAATAGAGTTCAGCTGCCTTTGTTGACTTTGGAAGATGGTGTGAACCTTTAAAGGAAACTTCTTCAGGTTTCTATGTCTCTTCTTTGGTTTCAGAATATAGTTTTATTTAATCTTGTGGCAAAAAACACTTTTTAGTGTACTAGCTCTTGCCATGAAACAGGAAATAAGTGATTATGGTAAGTTGGTGGAATGACAGTAACTCATTTAGGTTTCTTTCTTCTTCATGTTTTATTCAGCAATGAGCTCGTAAGACACCTAGGAGTCTGTGCTCCACCCAGACACTAACAGTCTCTAACGGGGATCTGGTTCCAGGTGAGAGAGGGATTTTCCCGCTGTGAGCAAGTGAAGCCAGTGGCCCATTAGGAAGGTGATGACTTGGGGAGCCAATTGCCTGTTGAGTGCACACAGCTGGAAAATTCTTTTTGGTGGAGCAAACATACCGCTCTCAATTTTTCAAACACATCAATGAGAAGTGAGGTGCGGCCCTTTAACAAGATGTAACTATGCAATAATGTAACAAAACTGGTCAATAGCAACTCATTTATTACAGGACTAAATGCTCATTACTGTTTGTAAAGGATGAATTTATAACCTTCATGGAGTTATATTTCATACACAGTTGATTTCCATTTACAAAGGCAGAAAGTCCTTGTTTAATCTGAATGTCAAGCTTTGACTTACAAAACTCCCGTTTTCTTTTAGGCTGTGTGGTGTGTGTGTGTTTGTGTGTGTGTGTGTGTGTGTGTGTGTGTGTGTGTGTGTAAGACAATGGGTGGCCGTTAGAGAAGGGAAATAGAACTTGAAATGGGAAAGGAAGGGAAAACACATTTCAGAAATTCTAAACAAATGATCAAACAAATAATGGAGGGGGTGTCACGGAAGGTCTTAATAGAGAATGACCTACACCATATGCTTCTTTGTTTATGTGCTTCCTCCAGGAGCAGAAGGGACTAGGAAGACTGGCTTTTTTCCAACAGAGAGAATTTGTAATTGGCAAGTCTTAAACTAAAATTGTTGTAATTTCATACTGCAAAGCAGCACTTTCCTTATGCAATTGAAATAAAAAATTAAATGCCTACCTGGGAGTTTCCAGGGTACTTGTAAGCAAATAAGATTAATTAGAAGCCCTCATAGCCTCTAGTTAAAAGCAAAGAAGTAACTCCATGATATTAAGAATTCCTGGCTGTTTGGAAGTTTTGTATAGGAAAAACAACAACAAACAAACCCACGGCCATCGAGTCGATTCTGACTCATAGCGACGCTATAGGACAGAGTAGAACTGCCTCATAGGATTTCCAAGGCTGTAATCTTTACGGAAGCAGACTGCCACATCTTTCTCCAGTGGAGTGCTTTAATGACCTTGCCACCAGGGCTTCTATACATAATTCCTTACTGGAAGCTTTTACTTCCCCAAGGCCAAAGTCTCTGTTCTAAATAGTGCATCATTTTGGACATCAGAGGATAAATGGATCCAGAGCTTGGTACCCACAGATCTAGCCCTTAAAAAGATGTTTGGGTCAATGAGTATAGGAAACAGGGACAGGTAATGTTGTAGTACTAGCTGACCCTGAAAGGAGACCTTGGGTGGCAGAAACATTTAAGCGCTAGACTACTAACTGAAAGTTTGGCAGTTTGAATCCACCCAGAGGTGCCATTGAAAGATCACAGCCATTGAAAACTCTATGGAGCACAGGTCTACTTTGACACACACGGGGTCACTGTGAGTCAGAATGGACTCAAGGACAACTGATTTGGTGTTTTTTAGGAACCTGGAGAATATCATTTAAATGGAACGGGAGCCCACGTGGAGGTAAGCTGAGACGCATTTTTATTTGAAGCAAATGGAAAAGTTGAGACACCTTACTTGACCTTTGGAGAGTTTCTAAATATTTGCTTTTCCTTCCCCAAAGGCAGATCCTTCTTTTAGATCAGGTTATGACTGGGGAGGGCAAAGGGAGCCTGGCATGGGAGAAGGGGTGAAATCAGGGGAGGGACAGGGTGGAGGAGGGAGGGAGCAGGAAGGTTCACTTTGCTGAATAAAGAATATCTTAAAAGATGGGTCCTGCCACACTCTTGCACCCAGGCAATTTGGATGAACAGCAGCTCATTTCTAATTTAGCATGGTGACATAATATGGCAAGCATCAGGCCACCCATCAACTGAAGCGTTTCTAAGGTGAATCTTTGGCAAAAATGTGGACCTGCAACAATTCAGATGACATTTTCTTTCAATCAGGTTCAAAAACCATGGCTCTGTACGGATATTTCCATGAGGTTTAAAGTTTTCTTTTGTCTTTTCATAATCCGGCATTCAGAGGTAAATGTTGGTTCTATTAGCTTTGGCAGAAACATCCTAAAAATAGAAGTGAGTAGAAAACATCTTGTCTATACTGATTTGGTATGAATCTGTAAGGCCTGAGTAAATTGGAAATTAACAAATTTCTTGAAATAATACAGATGAATGTAAGACACGCGAATAGAGTAGCAGATTCAGAAAAAAGGTTAGTACTGTATTCCAATGTTCTGTAAAAGGCATCAAATAAGGCCACCGCTACAGAAACCGAGTTCTTCTTTTGGTTTTCCTGCAATGGTTTCCTGTCAGTTTCCTGTTCACAGACGGAGGAGACGTAAAAAGAAAGATGGCCTCTGACTTTGTTTCCAACACAAAGCTGAAATCCAGGCTCAGCGTTCTCATAGAATGTGCAACGTGAATGCTTCTGGCTGGCGGGGGTTCGTGGCAGTTGGCTGACTAGCATGCGGTGCTTGGGAGGGCTCCCAGAGTGAAGGAGCAGCCTCTGGCTGAAGTGAATTCCTTTCTGGTCATGCCCTCCTTTTTGACTTGAGCTTAGACCCAGGTTCGGCTGCCATTTTTACCCTTCCGTGGGGGCAGGTGGGTGTCAGCAACCTCAGACAATTGAGCACCACCTGCGACACTTGGAGCAACGTTTCTTCTTTTTCTTGGGGTGGAAAATGGTGAGGATAGCTTCATCAAAAACCGCTTTGAGACCTTTCTGAGTCAGGGCTGAGCATTCCAAGTAGCACTGTGCTCCAATCTTAAAGACAAAAGAGAGAAAGGCATGAGATGCTGCTGCCCAGTAAGGAGAGAAAGGCATGGTAGTGTCAGCTCTTTGCCCAGCCAAGTACTATTGCTCTGCCCCACGAAATGGTCTAGGGGTTGGATTAGATATTGTTTTTTCCTTTGCATTTAAATTTCAATTTGTTCTTCTAAGTTTTTGTGTTTTGATTTAAAAAATTTTTGTACTACCAATGGAGTCCCTGAGTGGTGCAGTTAACACCCTTGGCTGCTAACCGAAAGGCTGGAGGTTTGAATCCAACTGCAGTAACTGGGAAGACCTGGCGATCTACTTCCAAAAACCCAGCCATTGAAAACCCTATGGAGCACAATTCTACGCTAACACACATGGGGTTGCCATGAGCTGGAGTCGACTCTGTGGCAATTGGTTTTTTATATTAGCAATACGTGGTTGTAGACCACTTTCGGTAAACTATAGATTGCAAAAGCAATCCACAACCATTTCCTCCTCATATAAAAACATAAAAATACACAAATACAAAAAATTAAGAGAGTAGATTTAAATGTATTTGTGAGCAATGGGGCTATATGGTGTTGTTTTTAATATCCTCTCATTTGTATGAAGAAAGTGTACATGATGTACAAATGTTACTTCATTCTGTATGTGATGAGGCACACTTGGTTGACAAAGCAAAAAGAAAGAGAGGAGGTGCTATGGTTTTGCAGGTCATGCTTGATTAAAATATGCTTCTGATAAGGTATCTCTCAGAAAGGTCATCTCTGCATGGCATTATTACTGAATTTTAACATAATTTAAAAGACCTAATTTGAAACAGTTTTTTTTTTTTTTAAAAAAAAACCAAAACATGGAAAAATAAAAATCATAACACTTACTGACAGACATTCTTTTTGTCAGTACCGAGTCCATGTGTATTTAAATGATAACATATTTTGTACATGGTTAGGGACTTATTTAGAAACTTTTGGTAGTTTCATAATATGGTGTATTTGGTAATCACAAAATCCCTGTATGAAATAGAGAGATTCAGGCTAGAACTATGGATTCTTGTTAAGAAATCACAGGCCGGAGCAGACCGTGTTTGGCAGGTAGTTTCATGTGAAAGAGGCCTGGTGGTGTTAACTTATTACAAGCTCAGTATGAGCCACCAAGATGATGCAGGCATTTTAACATTCAGGACATGTGGAGAAATGCTTCTATTTTATGTTTCATATTGTAAGAATAATTTGGAAAAATTACAGCAGATCCAGTAGAGGGTGGTTGGATGATGAGTTCCTGGAAATCGAAACCACAACAATAACAACAAAACAAAAGCCCAACCCACTGAGCAGATAACCAGCGAAAGCAGGGTAGCAAACTCAGATTCCTTTAGGGCCGGTAGCTATTGTAAAGGAGCAAAGCAGAGCTAGTGCACGGCAATAGGGAGAGGTGACCTGTCTAGAGTGGGAAGTCTAAACTCAGCTTTAGACAATTTTTGTCAGATGGGAATGTTGGTTCACTCTTGCCCATCTTTGTATTTTTTAAGAGGAGCTGGAAATGTGGGTTTTTATTTATTATTTACCAATTTTAAAAAACTTTCTGCGCCAAACAAAATATTCACGTGGGATGTATTTGGCAGGAACTGGCCAGTGTGCAATGTCTGGACTAAAGGAGCTTGTGGTTTAGCTTAGAAAAGAGTTGGAACAGACCCAGAAAGTAACGAGAATTGTTTAAGAGCACCCAACTAGTGAAAGTGAAAAACCCAGACCTAAGATTTAGATCTCTTGATGTGTGTTCTTTTCCTTGTTCCACCATGACTGTAACTGTGAACCTTATCATTCAACTCTGTAAGAAGCTAGTCAAGTTGCAATTAACCAAATGAAGTTGCCCACTCATTTAGAAGACCACAGATAGAAAACAAACTGCAGCATGAAGTTCTGTGGCTGAAGGGCTTTGCTGGATACTCCAAGACATGCTAGGTGGGTCCAGAAAAAATATTTCCTAGTTTTTCCAGAAGATATTGTGTACTTTTTTTTTGATTCCTGTAGAGAATGGTTACCATATGAGCCAAAGGAAAATACCAACAGAAAACATGTTGGATGTTGAAAACCTAGTTTATGGCTTTCATTTTGACTATGGCCCGGCCTTTGGATTAGGAAATAACTTTTTTATCATTAAAAACAGACAAATGAAGAGAAGGATAAAGGGCAAAGACAACTCCCTAAGAATGTCACAAAATGTTATCTGTTGCACTTTGGGATTGTGTCCAATGCTTGATATGAACACACGTGAAGAGCACACACATCTAGTGAATGTGTCAAGTGAATGACTGCTTGCATGTGAAGGCTCTCATCAGTCATTCTGAAAAGACACCCAGGAAGTGCTGTACAGCAGGGGCTGTGCTATTTAGAATAGCTCCTCACCAATGATCACAAGCCTCAGGTTGTTTGATTCTAGAAATTACAGGTGAGCTGGGCTGAGCTCGGCTCACACATGGGGCTCTGTGATGTCTGGTCTTCACCTCCTCCCCCAGAGTGCTGTTGACAGCCTGTCAGACTTTGCTTTTTGATGGTGCAGGAGGAATCCACACTTGTCTTTCCCAATTTGGACATTTCTGAAGATAATGAAACCTTAGACAAAGGCATTATTGTGACGAGGTTAATATAACATTATGTTATACTAAAAGTTCCAGGAAAAGCAGCAAACAGATTTTGGGTGTGATTTGGGAAACGTGTGAGAAATAGAACTGAGTTAAGAAATGGGTATTCTTAACTACTTATCAAGCGCTCTGAGGGTGAGGGTGTTCATCCTGGCTCAGGAAAGAGGCAAAGCTCAAATCATCACAAAAATGTGAAATGGAAAAATTTCTCAAGAAAATATAGCTTTTCTTATAGCAGCAACTTCATCTGCCTCTTGGAGCAAAGTGACCCACACAGCCACATATTTAGAATCAATTTCTAAGAGTTTAGGATATGAGAATCCATGCTTACATACACATGTAAGCAATCTGGAATGTGCTTACCAAAATGACTTGTTTTCAAGAAATAATAGAGATTGAGGAATGTAAACTGAGAGAACTTTTTTTTTCTTCCTGATAATTGTATAATAGTAGCTAAAATATAATGTCTCAAAAACTGGGAAATTTATCAGAGGTGTGCAGAAGATACAAGACTCCAAAAGAAGAAGAAGAAAAGAAAAACCATGATGATTAATCAAGTGGAAGAAAACCTAATACTTCTTCCAATTTGTCCTGGACATGGTGGTGGGACACGTTATAGAATAAGATACAAAGTGTAGCTAGAAGCAATAAAGGCAAAGAAGCCTTCCGAGCTATAGACATGTCTAAGAGGGCACATGGACATCACAACAAATACAGTTGACTGAGCTGAGCTAGATCTTGCACTACATTAGCTCATTTCATCTTCATGAGAACCTTACCAGGTATATCTATGGTCATCCTCATTCTACAGCTCAGGAAACTGATGCCTAGAAAGGTTAAGTAGGTCCCTAAGATTAGGTAGAGCTGAGACTTGGATTTATCTCCTGACTCAGAGTCTTAACCATTCTGCAGTGCTGTCTCTAGAAAATGTAGGGAAATTGTGGCTGAAAGAGCAAAAGCTACTTAACAAGTAGAAGACATTGTTATGGATGGACATAGTGAAGGTGATGAGTGAAGAAGGGAAGAAAAAGTAAGGCATTTCCTGTAAATGGAGAGAAAACATGTTGGTGGAATAAATAGAGTAAGCTGGTACCTAGAGAAACAAAGTATCAGAAAAATTCTTTATTCCTGATTTAAGAATTAGGAAAGGTATGAAGAGGGCAACTAGAGAATCCAAGGAAAGGGAAAAGAAATTCTGTGTCAACAAATCAACATTATGATCAAATTGCTGAAAGAGGAAAAGTGTTTCTAGGCCAGATGGCGTTGCTGCTTTGTGTGTGTGTGTGTTTTTGAAGACTATAAAGCAGATATTGCCAACCCAAGGGCAGAAGATGTAAATGCACTAATTGTGTGAAGGACGATATAGAGTGGTGGGGATTGTGGCAAACTGAAGAACACTTACCCTGTCTAAAAGACTTTAAAAGTTGCAGTAGATAAGGAAATGCTGGCCTAGTATTAAACCCATCTTTTGATTTTTTTTTTTTCTTTAGAAGCTGGAAATGTAGATATGTATGTTAAGTAACGTCTTTGCATGTACTAGTCTCTTTGGCATTTTTAGTTCGCAGTCCCTCGACTTTGTCAATCTGACAAATTTTGTCCTATCCTTCAAAATCTGGCTCAGATGTCAACTGTTCCAAGAAACTTTCTCGGCCCCCTCCTTCCCAGAATGGACTAGCCACTTCTGTCTTCCTGTTACCTCAGTACTTTCCACACGTCTGTTACCGTATGTATTCAGTTGGAGTGGTTCTGTCTGCCTGCTCCCTCCTCTCCTGGCCTCAGGGCCTCTTGAGAGCAGGGGTGTGTCTCCTTCATTTCTGTCACTCAGACCCCAGCAATGAAGTAAGTGATATTGAATGATCATGGGAGAAAGAGGAAATGGACAGTGCAGAAAATATTGCTGTTAGTTGCTGTAAAGTCGATTCCAACTCATGACGATCCCATGTATGCAGAGTAGAACTTCTCCATAGGGTTTTCAAAGTTGTGACCTTTTGGAAGCAGATTGCCAGGCCTGTCTTCCAAGGCACTTCTGGGTGGGTTTGAACTGCCAGCTTCTCTGTTAGAAGTCAAGCCCTTAACTGTTTGTGCCATGCGCAACAATAAGGAGGGTAAAAGTGACTTTTTCAGTCAGGAGAAGAGTATTAGAAACTGTAGTTTATTAATATGATTGACATTGATTTTTTGCAGCAACTTTGCTGCTGTAAATCCCACCTGTGCATGTTAAATACCCAGAAGGAGATGGGTGGTAAGCCAAAGAGTCACAACAAAAACTAAAGGCCCAAAGAAGATAGCAGTAAGGACAAGAACAGGCCAAGGCTAAAAAGGGAAAAATGTAAATTGTTGTATCAAGAGATACCTTAGGAAGTTGGATCTTAGAAAATCATGTTTAGATTGTATCAAATGGAATTGGGAAAGAGAATCAACCAAGAATTATGATCTTAGAGATAAAATGTAGCATACCACATATTAAGTGTTCAATCAAGTATCGTCAAATAAATCTAGTGGTAATATGGACATACACAAATATGTAAAAAACAGGAAAAGTAGACTGAGGATAAAAAAAACATTAGTGAAAAGAAGAGGGAGGATAAAACAAGTAGATGAATATTTATGATAAATTGATACAAAATGTTTATGTAAATGTGGTTGACTTTGGAGTGTAACAAATTGTAAATATGTATGATATAAAAATGTCCTTTAAATATACAGTAAATGCCCCTTGAGACTAAAAAGAGATGACAGGTGAAAAATGCTTTGGATATTGACAAGTACTGAACAAAAGGACTCAGATATGAAAAATCTAAACTTTATGAAGAATTGAAACTATGGAGAGAATATGCATATTCAGTAGGGATCTTCAGAAATGGACAAAAGAGCATCTCAAAAGGTTAGATGCAAAGTTTGGGGGTAGTAAGTTTACATTAATGGTGGTAGATTAATTTGGAGAAGGATAGCGAGAACAGTTATACAACTTGAAGAATGTAATGTCACTGAATTGTACATATCGAATTGGTTGAAATGGTGTATCCTTTGCTGTGTATCTATTCGCAAAGGATAAAATAAAAAAAAAATAAGGATCTTCAGTATATAAAGATGCCCCAAACCTCAGGGTTTCTTTTTCAGATTATAAAAGGAAGGCAGGAGAGCATGATGGTGAAAACATAGTTTTATCTTCTAGCTCTGCCACCTTCTAGCTGTGTTGACTTTATTAACCTGTCTGGAACTCAGTTTCCTCTAGGAAAGTGGAGATAATAATATACACACCTCGGGGGGTTGTCTTGAGGATTAATTAAGACAAAGCATGTAAAGAACTTGGCACCATGCCTAGCGCATTGCAAACACTCCATAAATGCTAGTTGTTATTATAAATGACTTGACAGAAAAGTCAGAGAGTAAAGAAACTTAAAGCATCTCTATAATTACGTGAATTGTGATGAAACAATTTAAAATCTTGCTTGGTTTTTCTTCTAAATTGGATTTTGTAAGCTAAACATGATTCTCTCTGTATCTGAAAGCAGTTGCTAGGGGAAACTGGCAAAAGGCAATAAACTGGTGAACTCAGCCATTGTTCCTAAAATAAGTATGAAATGAGATGGGAGGCTTTGCAATGACGTCTTTTAAGAGGGGGAAAAAAAAACTTCCCAAATGCAGAAGTAAGGCTAGGATACTGACAGGATGGTGGCGGGAGATGGGAGACAGAAGCAAGTTCCTGCCAAGAGCCAATGGGACCTCTGGGCTGTGAAAAATGTATAGTTAGAGATCACCTACAATTACTTATGAAGCTATATATTCACGTACCTTAATGAGAAAATTTGAGGCTGAATATTTGAGACAGTAGAAGAACCTATAGACACGTACCTATTTTACTGGAGGAAAAATATACAGTTGGAGAGACAAAGTCCCTGGGTGGTTCAAATAGTTAACATACTCAGCTGCTAACCAAAAGGCTGGAGGTTCGAGTCCACCCAGAGCTGCCTAAGGAGAAAGGCCTGGTGATCTACTTCTGAAAAATCAGTCACCGAAAATCCAGTTCTACTCTGACACACAGGAGGTCACCACAAGTAGGAGCTGACTCCGCGGCAACTGGTTTTGGAGAGGAGACAGTTTACACAATGGTCAGGTACGTAGGTAGTGAAGTCTACGACACGGATTAGAATTTTTGGACTTTGTTATTATCAGCCGTGTGGATCAGACACGTTAATCACTTCAAGACCTCATTCATGAGATGAGAAAAACACTATCTGCTTAGGAGGGTTATTATGAGCGTCAGATGAGACAGAGTCTGAGAAGTACTTAGCATCCTAAGAACTCCATGAATGGCGAGTACTGGCAGCATTAACATGACTGTTAACAGAAGTAGCAAGAGGTTAGTATCTCAGGTATTTGTAGGATATTCTCATGTACTGCACCCCTAAAATGTAATTCTATGTAATTCGTCTCTATTTAATTGTAGTATTCTTAATTTTGGGACTTATAAGCATATTTTAATAAGACAAATGCATACATTTTTTATAAATGAAGAAACTGTAGTTAATTTTATTCTCAACAGGCTTAGAGAGGGCAAGTCTTAGCCTGGGACATGCGTGTTACAGGGTTAGTTACTTAGAAGGTAAAACAGAAATTTTTAAAACCTCTGATGTTGGGTCAATGAATTTGTGGCTAAACAAATAAAAAAGTGAATTCAGGTTATGAATATGTGAGTTATAAGCCTCCTCTTGCATAAAGTACTTACATCCTCTTCTGTCCATTTTACTGTCTGCTTTGTACACATCTTACGGAGCCCGGGTGGCACAATGTTTAAAGCGTTCAATTGCTAACCAAAAGGTCAGCGGCTGGAATCCACCAGTCGCTCTTTGGAAACCCTATGGGGCGGTTCTACTCTGTCCTAAAGGGTCATTATGAATTGGAATCAACTCGACGGCAACGGGTTTGTTTTTGTTTTTGTTTGTTTTGTACACATCTTGGTGGTAATGGGGAGACAAAAATTTGGTGTCTGGTGAACACTTTCTAGAATCACTATGCATGTTAAGCTCTCAAGAATGAAGAAAGGTCTGTGAAAACAATGCCAGCTGTGAGCAAGTTGCTCTTATCTGAGGAGCAGCCACTTGGGTTCCCCAACTAGTTATTTTTTGGTCTATGTTACTCTTCCGGATGCTGACACAATCCAGCCTCTCTAAGTGGGTATTCACAACACAGTGAGAAATGTTGAACAAACACAACCCTGCCAGACGCTAATCTAAGTTTCTCCCAAGAAAATAACAAAATGCCTCTTATGGGGTTATTTAAATGAGACCAATGATAAGCAGTGAGATTTACAAATATACATCTAATGACTCCCTTGATTCATACTAAATATGGCAAGTGGATGTTCTAGAGGCTGCTAAATCAAATGATAAGAATTTCAGCTGTTTAAATTCACCGAGTTTCTTTCTTAATGAAAAACAGACAACGCTGGCTGACAAGATCACTAACCAAATGGCCCCTTCCAGCCTTACTAGAACAGAGGGGACAATATAAAGCAGAGAGAAGATTCTAAACACACTGTACTTTAAAACAAAACCCTACATAGCTCCCTCATCCCAAAGCATTTGTTTGTCATATATCAAACTCTTCTCTCAGTGAGCATACATTTAAAATTAAATTCAAATTTGACTGTACCGCTTTTGCAAGTTTCACACCATGCTCGTAAGTGAGAGGTTTCTCTTTCATATACAGCAAACGGGCCAACGTTTTGGGGTCATCACGAAGATCAATCTAGCGAAAAACATAGATGTGAGAAACTCATTTGTTTTCCAGTCTTTCCCAAATATTTTAAACCGTGATATAGTAGACTTTTTCCCCTTAACATCGAGTTTTCTTAAAGGAAGCATGTGTATGTGTACATTTTGTGTCTAGAAAGGTAAAGTGATTTCTTTCAAGTGAATACACTGTATCCTTCCCCTTCAAAGCAGCTACCCTGGGAGGCTGAGAACTTACTCTAATGATTCTGTTGCTGTCTTAGATATTTTTGGAATTTCCTATTTATTTTTAGATCCCGTTTATAGGTCGTACAAGATAATCAGTCTTATTACCTTAACAGTGGTAAGGTAATACTGCTTTGATCCCAAATCATATTACTCAACTGGACATTACTTAATAGTTCATTTCCTGGTTCTGAATACATCTTTGTGTGTGTGTGTGTGTGTGTGTGTGTGTGTGTGTGTGTGATCCCAAGGAGGAGTTTCCAAAGGGTTTGCTTAAGGAATAAGCATTAGTCTTTTCAAACACAGAATTATTTTGAAGATAACATATATATTTGGATTAGGTTTGATAATTAAATATTTTGATTGCTTTAAGATCTCACAGTGTATGTGAACCCATGCACACATGATTGGTGTGAATGTGGGTACATGAGGGCCCTTGTCTTAAAGAAAAACCAATATTCTCATATATTAGGGTCCCACTGATAAGCATGTGGCTCAGCTCTTATAATTTATTTTTTATGGACTTAATTGCTCAACTTAGTGGCCATCTGTTATAAAATAGGCTCAAATGACTCAAAGGTGTTTGAATGTACCATCAAATATCTTGGAAGCAGGGAGCCAAGCTCCATCAATATGTTCAAACATTATCAGCTGAAATTTAAGGCAAAAGGCTTCCTTCAAACAAGTCTATCCTTCATAGTAGAAGCATTAACTGAACTTTGATTTATGGATATATAAATTCTTCTACTTTATCTCTAGCTAAACATACATATTGTATATCTGCATATTTCCACTAGGAAATATTTCACTTTCCTTTATGTTTTTTGAAATTTATCTTTGTCAAGCCAAAATGTAAACCGGGAAATATTGAAGGAGACAATGTATGAAACAGATAATAATAAGGCCTTTTGGTATTATTACATTTCTATGCCTTTGTTGTAGTAATCTGGATTTTGTTTTTAAAAAAGCAAAGAACAAAATCTATTTAAAATATGAAAGGTTGGAACAACCTTTAATACATTTGTGCAATTGGCTTACTGCTGGAAATTCAAACTACAGAGTTTTATTAGCTTTGAAAACACTTTAAAAACTATTACAATCACAAGTTTGTTTATGTGGTATACCTGTTTTAATTTTTCTAAGGTCTGGAAGTGAGGGGCTTAAAAGCAATAGAGAAAAATGAATTTCTACCTTCTTTCTCCATGAGTGTTATTTAGGGCTTCCTGTCATAATGTGCCTATTCTGATCACTGGGGTCATTTTGACATTCACACCTATTTTGTGACTCCAAAACAAACATGCATTTCAGATATAGAAAGTATCAGGTAATATGTGCAATTGATACCCTCAGCCCATTCCTCTGGCTCAGGGCTGTGGTGGGGCTCAGGACTGCAGAAAGATGTCTATTTCAAAAATTACTTTTTTTTAAAGCTGAGCTTTTAAAACAAACACCATATAAAAACTTGCTTCATATTAAATAACTCTATTGTCTTTTCAATTATAGGCTAAGAACTGCTGTTCTAGCATTGGTATCTCTGAGACACTTTTTCATACTGTTTGGTAGACTATGAAATTCATGAGGATCTAAAGGGCCTTTCCTTTATTCTGGTAACCCTTCCCTTTCCGCCCCTTCCCTACCCCACCCTCCATCCTCAAGTTTTAACCTGGGTCCCTATGAGGACATAAGGCACATGAGGCATGCAGTCCTTCAGCTCTGGGACCCATTCCTCCTGGACATTGTGGTAAGAGGCAGGATTCACGACAGAGAAACAGATCAAAAACACGTCCGTGTTGGGATAGGAGAGCGGTCGCAGCTGGTTGTAGTCCTCCTGCGGGGAGAGCAGAGGAGAGTTTGTAAAGCCTGGGTAACTGGGTCTCATGTGGTCGCAGGGAGTGGCACAGGCAAGATTCCACTACCGCCCACTATGACAGAAATCCTTCCTGCGCCCTGGATGTTTTATTACTACAAATAAAAGAGCCATCAGTCAGGAAAACGTCTATCTGCTGTGTATGGAGATTGCTATTGTCTTCTTTAAAAAATTATTTTTAACAGCTTTATGGAGAAACAATTTATGCACCATAAAGTTCACCCCTGTAGAGATTATTGCAATTCCTCCATCACATTGGAATTGTGTTGTATTGAATATGAATTTAAATTAGTGGACCATTGGCTGAGGCACAGAAATCCTCTCTTTATAGAAATTTTAAAACTTGTGTTTGGACTTAATTTTGAAAAAGTCAACTAAAATTCAAAACAAAGAGTTATTGCCAAATTAGGCGCCACAATATTTGAAGAAATATATCGGGTGAGGGTTTAGAGCTAAGACTTGGGGATTTGTTTCGAAGTTTACCTAAAGGCCACAGTGTGGCCAAGTAAGTATAGTAGCATTCATTATTTTCTCTCCAAAGACTTTTCAGACCAGAGTGTGCTCTGGTTGAAGAGCCCCTGGTTGTATAAGATGTTTACATGTCTGCTGTTTTAGTGGGAGATGGTAAAGGCAAAGTAAAACAATGGGTCATCTAGGGAAAACGTCAGCAGTACCTTTTATTGTATGTAGGAGGTCCCAAGGTAAAATCTGCTATTTCAATAGGAAGTTTTATATATTTTCACAGAACCACACACAGGCCAAAATTAACACGTCTTTATACATGGCACATATGACGTACACGTTCACACATACTACACATAATTCCTACATGTAGATATACTACATACAAGCATATATGCTACATGAATACATACAACCAAATCTATATGTTCACACTTATTACATACATATGTACACAGATATAGACAGAATATCAATCAACGATATATCAGCTCATTTATTAGGGCCTTGATTACTCTTTCTAACATTAAAAAATCTCAAACTCATATTTGCTCATCGTAAAAATTCAAACATTACAGACACACGTAGAAGTGACACTTTGTTTTTTCATACCCTATGGGATCTCTAATAGCTTTTCCTCTCTCCCCAGAGACAGCCACTGCTTAACAGTACACTTTTGAACATTTTATTTTTATTTTCATATATAATATACACATTTATAGTTTAAAAAGCATAAATTGATTATATAGCTGCTATTGTTGTACCACTTGGTTTTAAAAATTTAATGTATCGTTGCTATTTTTCAATATCAACCTCACTTTCTACTGTTGACTCTAATAATGTCTTTGTGTCAAAGGGATACGTGCATGTGGACACATGAGACTGGCAGGCACTACGTTAGAATGTTGAGTGTGGCTCTCTCTGGCTGGTGGGCATGCACTGATCTGTTGTTCAGCTACTCAATGTACCCAGTACATTGGGGCTCAGTCTGCATGGCCACTAGTATTACTACTACTGCTATTAAAATCTAAGCAAAGGCTTTCACTGCCTAAGCAAAAAGCAATACAAGATGGCAAGGATGCTGAAAAAATAAGAGTCCTAAAAAAAAACTGATTAAAAAACATCTGTTATTGTGGTTAATTTGCCACATTGCTATTAAAGCAAATAACTGGGAGTTGGGTGCATTGCTGAATAAACATTGGTCATACAGGGCAGCTGGGCCAGGTCTACAGGCTGAATCTCAGCCAAGTTGTGTCTATGTCTGTGTGTGTGTGTGTGTGTGTGTGTGTGGCAGTGGGAGAGGGGGTTAGCTCATCTCTTGGCACCACGCTCTTCTCTTCACGCAACTAACTCTGAAACCAAACCTTCTCTCCCATGGTTTCTCCTTTCTCTCCTGGGCTTTCCTTCAAAGAGCAGCCGTGAGGCCCACAGGGTAAGAAATCTCCTTCCTGGGCTACAATCCACGGCTGTCCATGATATCACCTGCTCTCACTTCATACTGCCATCTGGATTGTCATCTATGGAGCAGGGACCATGTTGATTTTTTTCATTCCCCACTGGTGCTCCGTCCACAGCAAATATTCCGTAAATACTTTTGATGACTGGAAGAGATTGGTTTAGAATGACCTGCAAATGAATACATGGCTTTTCTGAGGAATTGGAGCCCTCATGGCACAGTGGTTAAGTGTTTGGCTGCTAACCAAAAGGTCATCAGTTTGAATCCACCAGCAGTTCCTTGGAAACCCTATGAGGTGGTTCTACTCTGTGCTATAGGGTCACTATGAGTCAGAAGAGACTTGACAGCAATTTTTTTTTTTTTCCTGACGAATGAGCCATTTTTGACTGGAATGGTTTTCATTAGAATCACCAGGGGAGCTTTTAAAACTTCCTGATGCCCTGCAAACCAACCTGCCCCCTATTCTTGTAACAATTAAATTAGAATCTCTGTACAGTGAGGCTGAGTATCTAGGAATTCTGAATTAACTGGTCTGGGGTTGGCCTGGAGTTGAGAAAAACTGATTTACATCATCGTCTTCATCATTGTTTTTATTGTCTTCATCATTGTCTTTATTGTCTTCATCATCATTGTGAGGATGTATCAGGGCTTACTACTAAAGGCCAGGCATTGTTTCAGGCGCTTACATGCATTACATCACTGACTCTCACAAGAGGACTGGAAAGATGGTACCATCACATCCCCATTTTGTAGATGAGGAAGTTAAGGTTTAAAGGTCAGTAATGGGCTATAAATACTAGAGCTATAACTGTTACAGAGCTATAAATACCAGCCAGGGTGGGTTATTTAGTCTGATTCCAGCTCTTTCTCCTAATGATAACTACACTATTTGCTTCAGCTCATCATTTTAAGACACAAATTGTTTCCTTGAAAATTCAGTTATTCAGAAATCTTAATATAGACTCATATTTTTACCCACGGATCTAAGAAATGTTAGACCGCAGGTATAGTATGTAAGAGCGGTCCTGGTGGTGCAGTGGTTACAAGAAGCCTTGGTGGCACGGTAGTTAACGTGCTCGGCTATTAACTGAAAGGTAGCCGTTTGAACCCACCAACTGCTCCCAGGAGAAAGATGTGGCTGTCTGCTTCCGTAAAGATTTACAGCCTTGGAAACTCTGGGGGCAGTTCTACTCTGTCCTATAGGGTCGCTGTGAGTTGGAATTCACTCGATGGCAAGGGGTTTGTTGTATTTATTTTTTTGGTATAGTATCTATTTTTTGAGCTGCAGCTGCTCGCATTTACCACCAGATGGCAGCAGACACTGTCTATTTTAAACCTCAAAGCCAACAAAACAAAAGGAAAAAAATCTACAGTGGTGAGAAATGCCACAACTAGACAAGTAGGAGCAGATAACTAGTCTGAAAGGTTCATGTTTATTTGATTCTTTACCCAACAACTGTCAAAGGAATTCCTGATCTAAGCTCTGCTTACATTATGGAAAGTTAGGAAGACCACAGTCTGCTGGGCTGGCCAGGTGGGAAGGTGAGAGAAGTATGCTTTTCTGATCATTTGCCCTCCTGCCAGAGAATCCCTGGTGGTACAGTGGTTAAGCCATTGATTTGAACCCACCAGTAGTTCCACGGGAGAAAGGTGTGGCAGTCTGCTTCCGTAAAGATTTACAGCCTTGGAAACCCTACGGGGCAGGTCTACTCTCTCCTGTAGGGTCGCTATGAGTCAGAAACCATTCAACAGCAACGGGTTTGATTTGTTTTTTCAGGGTAGCCAAGGCCTTCCAGCTGAGTGACTCTTGATTGGTCTGGTCATTGGACTTTACCTTGCTCTTTTTTCTGGATCTATCTTCTGTAAAAACTTAGTCAAGCTGTGTAATTTCATTTAAAAAAGATTTATTAATTTCCTATTGAGCGTCTAGCACTATTAAGGATGCTATACGGATTATATAAAGTGAATAAGAATTGGAAATACAGTTGGGGAAAGAAAAAAATACACAAAACAATTCAATGTATGGTAAAGCAAGACAGGTGAGGTTTCTGTTGCTCTTTGTTAGCTGATCTGAAAATGGACTAATGTAGAATACTTATCTGACTGAACTGGAAAAATACAATTTTAAGGCTGGACAAGGCCTTAGAGAGCAGGACAGTGTTTCCCAAAGTATGGCCCCTGGACCAGAAGCATCAGCATCACCTGGGCTTTGGTAGCAATGCACATTCTCAGGCCCCACCTAGCCCTCCTGAGCCAGAGACTCTGGGGAGGGACTGCACCACCTGTGGCTTAAGAAGCTCTCCAGGTGATTCAGATACAGCTCAAATTTGGCTATTGTTCTTCCCTCCTCCCACCCCCACCCTGGACAACTTTATAGTTTAAAGAAACTGAAGTCTAGACAGATTGAGTGATCGAATCACAGAGCAAATCTATGTTTAAAGAATGCTAATACCTGGGCTGGCCAAGGTGTGGAGCTCCTTTCAGCCCCTGTATGCCACTGGCTGCAGCTGTGAAACATGACAGGGGATTTGTAACAATCACAAAAGGAAGTGTTCTCTCTGGGCTGGGTGGTGGGTGGCGGGAGGTTGAGGGATTTGAATTTGTATCTGTTGGTAGCAAATAATTTTTGCAGTGAAGTGTGCTTTGAGCCTAGGTTGGATGACCACATGTAGAGATGATGCAAAGGGGCTACGAGGAATGGATAAGTGGTCTAGTTGGTATTTGAGGCCCCTTCCAACTTCCAAATTGTGAACAAAGACAGGTGTTTGTGTGCTTCTTGAAGAGACAAGGTTTGAATCTAAAAAAGTGATTCAGATGGGGCTTTGGAGGGCTAAAGTGGACACAGAGGCAGGGGTGGGGCTGTAGGGAGGAACTAGGGGCAAGGCAGGCTTTTGAGTGCTTTTTGCCCAACATTACCCTGAAGACAGGAGATTATTTGGTTTGAAGGTGAATCTGGTGCTCTGGGGGTAACTATGGATGATTATAAAAGATGAAAAGGCCAGGGAAAGCCTCAGCATCAGGTGGGCCATACTCCAGTATCCTA